ACTTGTTAGTGCTCGGTCCCTAATTACATATTTTGGTGAATAAATTCCTTTTTTTCGAGTTATTACATAAGGTATTGTTACTTGGCATGTTGTTATAATTCAGTACTATATCTTAAAGGACCAGTGTGTAGGATTTAGGGCCATCTAGAGGTGATGTTGCAGATAGAAACCAAGTGAATACAGCTCAGCCTTACAAGTGTAAAAGTGCAAAAAAAAATCCCTATTTAGAGGCACTGTTTGGTTTCTACGTTCTGTGCTAAAAACAATGTGGTTCAATATGGCAAACCTAGCTAGAAAAGGACCTGCTCCCTGTGTAGATAAAGATGGCTCATTCTAAGGTATTCAGGTAATTTCAGGTGATTATACACTAATGAAAACATACCATTTTTGCCAATAGATCCTCCTAATTGTTACACACTGGACCTTTTGATAAACTTGATTTGAGTTGACTCTTGAGGGAAGTATTAATAACTAAATCAAATGAATTAAATGCATTGCTTTTTCCCTCCAGGTTTTGATGTTGATTGATGCCAGCTTTGGCTTTGAGATGGAGACCTTTGAGTTTCTCAACATCTGTCAGGTACATGGCTTCCCTCGTATCATGGGTGTGCTGACTCACCTGGATTCATTCAAGAATAACAAGACACTAAGGAAGACCAAGAAAAACCTGAAACATCGCTTCTGGACTGAGGTCTACCAGGTAAAGACATAATCACATCTTTACTGCTGAAAATGCATCATCAGTCGCTCGTACAGAACCTTGAAACTATAACTCGTATGTACTCTGACAGTATCCATACGGCCATGTGATTAAAGACCGTTTTACCTGTGCATGCATGTTTGGTTTGAACCTCTCAGGGGGCCAAGCTGTTCTACCTGTCAGGTATGGTGTATGGTGAATATCAGACTCAGGAAGTGAAGAACCTCGGTCGCTTTATCTCTGTCATGAAGTTTCGTCCTCTGGTTTGGCAGACCTCCCACCCATATGTTCTGGTTGACCGGTGAGTAAAAACCTGAGACTGACATGACTTTAATTTCAAAGTCACGTATTTACGAGACAGTTCATTGTTGATATCATTTAAATGGCCAGTATCATTTATATTTAATAGTTACTAAAAACATTTTCAACAACATTTTTACACCACATAAAGCTTTGTATGTGGAAGCAGCTACACATTAGCTACAAACTAATGCATGGACTTACGGAGAGGACGAGGGAGTGAGGCAGGTCATCATAGTTCATAGTTTATGAAATGGCTGTAAATTCATTCATTACTTTAGTGTGGCTGCTTCCACATACAATATGTATTCAAGTGAGCTGTACCTAAACCTTAAACCTTTTTGCTCTCTTTATAATATAGAGTCCTACTAAAATGAACGTGCCTGATTTTGCTAAGTTGTGGACAACTTCACATAGTTATTTGACTTGTTAAGCACAGGTATAAGTCATAACATCAATAATTGCTGCATTGCATTTAGATGCATCAGTTTCAGGACCCTGGTATTTCGTATTTCGGATAATGGCATGACTTACTGGCACAGCTACATAGAACGGGCCTGTCAGAATACCTGTCATTAGCAACATAGATGCTCAGCAAGACACTATACTGTAACTCGTAAACAGTGAATTGGTAACCTTGCTGATGTCAGACCAAACAGCCACAATGTTAGTGTCTAACTAACATATTTCATGGTGTGCTTGCATACTTTCTCAGTTATACTCACTCAAACTGTATTGTCTTTTCCTTTCTAAACAGTATGGAGGACTTGACTGACCCTGAAAGCGTAAGGACAGACCCCAAGTGTGACCGGACAGTGTCACTCTACGGCTACTTGCGAGGGACATATTTGAAAAATAAATGCCAGGTCCATATCCCAGGTATGTAAGCATAGTTACCTACCTACCTACAGTTGGAAGGCGCTATACACGTAGCAACATTTACCGTTTACCATTTAAATCATACCGTCTAAAGCAGAAAGGCTCCAAATAGTACTGCTGAAATATCCCTGGAAACATGTGCAGTGATATATTGTCTGCAATATATCTGCAATATATATATATATCCCTGCAGGTGTAGGAGACTTTCAGGTGGCAGACGTGAACTTTCTGCCAGACCCGTGTTCACTGCCAGATGCTCAGAAGAAGAGAGCGTTGAATGAGAAGGAACGTCTGCTTTATGCACCCATGGCTGGAGTTGGGGGGGTTGTGTACGACAGGGACGCTGTTTATATTGACCTTCCTGCTAACCACGTCAATCAACAGCAGGTGTGTGTGTGTTTTTGTGCTTGAACCTTCTGACAGCCTGTTATTTGTACTTATATTCGCTAGCTATTTATTTTACAACCTAACCCAATTTTCCCATGTTTTTGTGTCAAAGTGACTAATGGGGGACTACACATTTGAATTTGGTCCAGTATAGAGTCAGAGTTCTGCTTAAGTCCTGCCCCTTATGGAACCTCAGTCAACTTTCCTGTACTTAGATATGCTATGTGCTGACTTAATTCCGCACATTTAAAATAAGTGCATTAAAAGTGCTTGTTTTTGCCATTACTCAGATCAAATTGTGATTGTAAGTGTCTGAAAACATTATGGAGCGCACCCTACAGAAAAATCCAATGTTCTAAATATCTTTTGTTTGACCCTGTCTGTGAAATCTCCTCTGTGGTTATAGGGTCAAAGTACCCACAACAACACCACTCTCCCGAGCTTTGCAGCTTTGCACCAGCAGGCTTACTTTTCTCCTCCTGTTGCCACTCTCTTTTTCTCCTTATCCACTCTTCAATTTGTATTCTTGTACTATTGTTCCCATTAGTCACTCTGGTATTTTTCCACCTGACCTTATTTTAAGTACTGTTTGTACATGGTGTGAGGTGTATTCTTCTCTCCCTGTTACAGGACGAGGTGCGGCCCACCACAGAGCTGGTCCAGTCTCTTATTGACACACATGCTACCCTGGATGCCAAGATGGCTGCCAGTAAGGTGTCTCTGTTCAGCGGCTCTGCCACCCTAGACCCAACAGGCATCGACGAGCAGAGCAGGTGAGGCACCTCACAGCTACAGCCTCTTTCTCTCTTCTTCATTTATACCTTCATACATATGTACTACAGATGTGAGGGACATTAGATACATGAAATGTATGAAATAATGTGAAATGAAATATGAAATAATAAATACTTATAATAATTTATACGTTGTACGTCATTAGGGAAAGACATTAGAGCCTTAATGATACAAAGCGGTTATGGGGAGTAACTTGAACATCTCCGTTGTGTATTGAATTATATTTATAACATGATAAACACAGATCGTGTGTCTGTCTGTGTGTGTCTGTGTGTGTCTGTGTGTTAGAGAGGAGGAGAGTCCGCAAGAGAAGCATGTCTGGGATCCTAACACCCAGAGAAACAGGAGGAAAGTGGTCTTCGCTGAGGAGGAGGAAGATGATGTTAGCAGCACCACTGATGATGAGGATGGTGACAGTGAGCAGGAAGAGGATGAAGACAAGGATAATCTGTCCATATTTCTCAAAGAGGCTAGAGCCCAATCTGAAAAGACAGCAAAGAACGTAACAGACACTCCACCAGTGAAAAGACAGAAGCTGGAGGAGAAAAAGGAAGAGGGCGAAGAGATGCTAGCGTTTGCTGACAGTGAAGACGACCTAGAGATGAGTGAGGAGGAGGAGAGCAAGAAAGAGGGAGAGGCTGCGAGAGCAAGAGACTCTGGACACTGTTTTGAAGAAGATGAGGAAGAAAGCGATGATGAAGAGTCAGAAAATGAATCAGTGGAAGAGGAGGATGATGCAGATGATACAGTGAAGAAACAAACAGAGAGTGAGGAGGAGGAGGAGGGGGAAGGGGAAGAAGAGCAGGGTAAATACACTGTTAGGTTGATACTTTCTGTTTTATTGTAGTTCGTAGTTAATGGTTGCACTACTCCTATTTTGTCTCTTCTGATGCTAATTCAAATCCCTAAAACCAATCAGAAATCATTTTTCGCCTTACAGTTAATGTTCAGTGTAATTTCAGTGTAGTCTTCCTTTTTATTAATCATTAAGCACCTTGAGGATTAAAGAACTGGGGTTTAATGGGGGGTTCATTCTTGACCTTGGAAACAGATTTCAGTCGCAACACAAGATCCATTTAGTAGCTCCTCCGCCCCTTTTCGCTCTGTCCTCTAGACTCCAATATGGTGTTCAGCTCTCCTTTTATTACTGTAATTTCAAGTCTTAAACTGCAGAAAAAAACTGTGTTGCTGTACAGACAAAGTTGTTTTTCCATGTGTCAGCTCAGACAATGTGAGTAGATGAGATTCAGAACAAAGCTTTCATTGGTCAAATAGTCTGCAGGTAGCTGTTCATGTGTTTTGATATAAGGGGGAATTGTGTTGATGTTCAAGCCACAAACTGATAGATTTGTGATACTAAATAGAATTTGAAGGTTCAGTGATTTTATTTATCATTCTCCTGTTTCTGTCCATAGGGGCTCTAAGGTGGAAGGAGGGTCTGCAGCAGAAAGCATCAGAAGCTTTTCTACGGCAACAAGAAGCTGCCCCCAATCTGAGAAAACTGATTTATGGTTCAGGTAGCCTGCACATAAATGTCTATTTATATGAAAAGGAGTTTAAGGATATATCATTATATGTGTGATAAGTTAATACACCATTGGCCTAGACCATTTTTCAGTCTGGATATAATTATAACTGGTATAGACTGTATGTTAGCAGTTAGAATCACCAAAGATATGTTTGAGGTCTTTAAAAAATAGAAACTAAAAAATGCCCCGATTACAAGAGATCAGTAGGTTCCCAATGTTCATATGTTTGCCACAATACAGATATTTACTCACCTTCTCACCTCCAATTTACATAGCTTTGTTGCTAGTTTTGGTAGCTGTCTCTAGCTGTTTGACGTTTGTGACCAATACAAGCAAATGTGTGCTAGCAAGCAAACTTCTCAAGTGACAAATAGAATAGGGAAGACAGTAGTGGACAGAAAGGCAGAGAATTTGACTCCACCCTGTCACGCAAACGACAAATTTTGTATTTGTTAATGTAATGGGTTTAAAGGTTTTCTCACATTTTCTTTGTTAGATCACAAATGGTCATTCACCTGTTTCCGTAGTCCGTTCAAATGGAATGAAATTGAACATAAGCCACATAAATATAAGTATAATGCAAATGTTTATTCACTTGTGTTGATAAAGCAAACAGCACAACAATTATTATCACTGGTCAAGCAGGCTGTAGATCATGTCAGCAGGCCGACACGACCTTAGGCCACTGGAAAATGTCTTGGTGCTCCTGATGGGCTGTCCGCCTCTGAGGCATGGTAAAATTTACTGATGGTGCACTGGCATAAAAGTTCAAGATGGGATTGCACCAGAAAAAAAAAAGTGTGCATTGGATAAAATTTGGGATACAGTGGAGGTGCACAATTTCTAACATCGTTGCATCAGTAAGATTTGTCTTTTATATAGAATTATTAGTAGAGGACCTGTGCGTTTATTATTTAGATATGTGACAAATAATTTTATATTTAGATTGATTCCTCCTTTCTTAACTGTTTCTTAGGTTGCTTAGGAAGTACCAAAAAAATCAACTCTAAACTATCTGTACCAATTTAAACTGCATAGCATCATATTCTATTGCATTGAATCAAATTGTGTCTAATCACACTGCATCGCAATAGGGGTAAATTGTATCGCATTAGTAGTTGCTTCATATGTATGTTAAATGTATTGGATCGTTGAATCGTTCAATGCATTAACATGTGTATCACATTGGAAATTTTCTGTATTAAGCCATATTTTTGTGTTTTGTAGCAAATGTCAGAGATGCTGTGAATTTCAAAACTACATCAATCAATTCAATCAATTAAATTTATTGTCCTCCAAGGGGG